TGATACAGAACTAATGTTTTATTAATTAGGTCTGTATCAGGAAAACGTTGAATGATAATCAGCCCCGCAMTCCCYTGAAWATATTCAAAGCCGCCCCCAACTTTGAGCTTGCTGCACCTTTTATCCAATATAAACGTATAATCACGTGATTAGATTCTCAGTATATCATTGGCTAATGAAATTATGAATTATTAATGAGTTTGATAACAGAGTATAAACTAGGGATGAGCCTTATTTATTTGTTAAACAAGCAACAGACTCAAAAGGATCGATATAGTATCACATTTTGATAACATCACCACTATAATCATCATTTGTACTGTTTCATAATTTATATCAGAAAACGACGACACATTGAGGTTATGCTATACCGAATACTTTTAGTGAATTTGTATTACCCTGGGCATGTTCAATGCTCATTGGTTTGTAGTTATGGGATTGATTTACACAATTTGCACGGTCTACATAAATTAAAAACACAAGTTGCACTTAGATCGATAGCGGCTATTTAGAGATTTAGAGACAAATTGTCAGTATCAATGAACCAGAGCGCAATAAACATGAATGAAAAATGGTCCCATGTGGATTCATCTTCATTGTGCTCTGGTTCATTGATACTGACAAATTGTCTCTAAATAGCCGYTATTTGTTAGTATTTAGTTTGATGTTATTTCATGGTTTTCCTGCGTTTGCTCTAATCATCTTTCACACACGCATGGCAAATTATGTTGGYCATAAATTATTAAAAGTGTAGCTTTCTATTAATAACGCTTACAGTGCGGCTACTGAAACCGGGGCCACCTAGAGAATGTAAAACAATCACAATTTCGATCTAAATTGTGGGATTTTATATTCTCTAGGTGGCCCCGGTTTCAGTAGCCGCACTGTAAAGCAAAGTGTGAATTTCAAGTGTAAAAATRWCTGATTCAACGAAAAGAGTATAGAAGTAGAGTCGAGTTGGAAAGTGCATTTCACGTGTTTTAAAATGAACTCCACGCTAATTAAACTGACAGCTGTCCGTTAGCTGGTCTATGATGCAATATTGAAGCCATTTACTTTTAAAGATCATGCATTAATGGCATTTTGAATTTGGCTACAACATATACATCGTGAACAATACCAGTTATATATTTACATCTGTAAAACAAGTATGTGTTACAGATCGAGAGTATTGGACAACACTCCTGTAAGTTTGAATATCATCCTCAGCCTAACAAATAATGTCATCCGACATA